TATCTTCTTTCTAAATGAATTTTTTGTCCTCTTAAGTAGGAGGATCAAAATAAAGACACACTAAGCTAAGATAGATCAGGATGAGTACTAAGAACTGATATTTCATCACGTTAAATAAATGCAAACCTATATGCAGTTTAATATATAGCATTAGGCATATTCTAATCTCTCTCCAAAATTATAACCAAAACTATTTTTTTCTTTTTGTTTTTTTGAAATGCAATCTCTATATAGTTCAGGCTGGCCTTGAACTCACTATGTAGTCTGGGCTGTACTCAAACTTGCAGAGATCCTCCAGCCTCAGCCTCCCAAGTACTGAGATTACAGAGTGCACCACCATGCCCAGCCAAAACTATTTCTCTTAACAAACATGAAAGTAAGCCAGACTGATGCATCTATCAGAGTAACAAGACTAACAAAAAAATTAAAGTTTGTTTCAAGGCTGAACACTAGGTAAGCTGTTACTGTTGCTGCATGTACTTCCAAATGTTTCAAAATGTGTTATATTCTAAATCTAGTAAAAAAGAAGTAAGAATTGTAAAACCTTGCAACCTAGTCCCATTGAACATCCTTATAGCTCTGCTACATGGTGAATAAATCACCACAGTTGAAATGGCTCCAAACTAGTCCTTCCCACCAAGTAGGTAAACACCCAGTAATAGCCATTAAAAGCTAATGTAGGGTTCAGGATGTAGCTCAGTGGTAAAGCACTTGCCTACCTTCCATCAAGGCCTGGGTACAATCCCAAAAGCCACAGTAGGAGGGGGGATGCTGGCGTAAACTCAATATCCAGTCCCTGGTATTCAGTCAGAACAGCACTCAAAGGTGACACCCACTATCACAAGAGTCAGTACCCTCTATAGACGCAAATTTAATCTAGACAATGAAAACCTTTATACAAAAAAATTAGATCTGGCTATTCTCAGGACAGCCAAGTTTCCAATAATATTTATCTACTTCATGAAACTATGTATTCTGCTATTGTATGCTGGGAATTTATAGTGAAGGAATTTCAAGGTTACATCGAATATTATCTCTAAAAAACTTTTCAATGTTGCTGTATGTAGATACAGACATATAGGGCCACAGATATAGCTCAGCGGCATAAGCGTTTGCCTGGCAAGCCTGAGGTCATGAGTTCAATTCCCGGTACAAAAAAAAAAAGATATAGACATATAGATCATATACAACCATATTACCAGCATTTGTTCGTTTTTCAGGAGCAGAAACAGGTTTGCACTGAACAAGATACTTACTGACCTGGTCATGAGGAATGGCTATGAAACAAAATGAAACTCACTGGTTCATATACAAATCAAAACAGTAAGCCAGACACAGTGGCATATGCCTATACCCCAGCACTCTGGAAGGATGAGGCAGAAGGATGGAAAGTTTGGGTACCTTAGCAAGACCTTGTCTCAAAATAAAAAAGGACTGAAGGCATAACTCAATGTGGTTCAATCTCCAATACATAAAAAAAGCAAAACAAAACACTGTAACTCTAACCTCATTGTAGCTTTTCCCAAAAGCATAATTACAATGATTTACCACTGCACATCACTGTAACTACAATTAATAAACTGAAAATTGTTAGAACAGATTTTAAGTGTTCTCACCACATCAAAAAAAAAAAAGGTAAATAGGGTAACGTGTATACAAGGGCTGATCAAAATTTAGTGTGTGTCCAAATTTTAAAAAGTACTACATTAAGGGAAGGCATGGTGGTGCACACCTGTAATCCCAGCACTCAGGAGGCTGGGGCAGGAGGATCACCTCAAGTTCAAGGCCAACCTGGGCTATGTAGGGTGTTCAAGGATAGTCTGGACTACATAGCAAGGCCCTGTGTCAAAAAAGTACATGAAAACACACATTGCCAGGTCGGGGATATAGCTCAGTGACACAGTGCCTACCTCGCAAGCATGAAGTTGTGACTTTGATTCCCAGTACCAAAAAATTAATTAATTAATTATTTATAAATAAATAAATAAAACACACATTGCCATTATCCCCTCTCAAAATACTCCCCCTAGCTCAGAACACTTATCCTATCATCCTTGCCATTTTCTGAAGCAGTCTCTTTTGTGTGTTTAAGAGGTATGACCAAAAGTACAGTGACTGTTAAAGCCAAGTGCCGTCTGACAGAAAGGCAAGCTCATGAAAAACATGGTATGTACTCATCCATCTTATTCACTAGGCCTAGCACCATGCTTCTGGCTCTTTCCCAAAGGCAAAATGACCATGAAAGGTAAAAGTTCTGAACTGATTTAAGACATAGAGGCAGCCATGACAGCATAACTAAAGACACTCAAGGAAGCACATTTCCAGAATTGCTTCAGAAAAGTGGCAAGAGCAATGGGCTAAGTGTGTTCAAAGGGAGGGGGAGTATTCTGAGGGGGAATAATGACAATGTGTCTTTTACTGTAATACTTTTTTAGTATTTAAATTTTTACTGTATTTATTGATCATACCAAGTATGTTAGAGTTAGCCATTCTACAATGTATATGTAACATGTTGTGCTCCATAGATACATAATATTTTACTTGTCAACTGAAAACAAAAGAACAAACAATCTAATAAGTGCTTTCCCTTCTTCCTCAACACGTTCTTCCTTTTGCTACCTTATGGTCTTGGGTATTCTCAGCCCGAATTGGGTATTCTGAATCTGAATTCTACTTGTCCTTCAAAACTTAATTCAAATCCCATCTTTGTCCATCACACCTTCCCAAAGGCACCAATGCTACCATACACTCTGAAATCAAAAACACATATCCTCTTTCACTTTCCTGTCATTCAATAATAACATTTCAGTCAACAAATGGACTAGAGGGGTGGTTCCATAAAATTACACGGCCTAGTGACACTGTAGCCATCTTATACTCCATATTTTCACAAACATGAAACCACCTAATGCATTTCTCAGAACTTGTCCCTCTCCTAAACAATGTATGACTACATTGTTACTTTGTTACTTTGACTTTTTCCAAGTTTGTCTCTTCCTCTTTTTGAGACACAGTCTCACTTTGTAGTTCAGGCTGGTCTCAAGCTCACAACAGTTCTCCTGCCTCAGCCTCCTGGATGCTGGGATTACATGTGTGTGCCACCTCAGCCAGCATAAGTGAGGTTCTTAAAAGTAAGAACCACATATTCCTCCATATCACCTCCACAATATCCCGCAAAGAATCCTGTATGTAAAGTGGTACTTGCATACTTACATTCAATTGTGATAGGCCTCAACTTACAAGTCAGACATGATATAATAAATCTGACTAAAAAGATCAAGAACTCCAGATAGCTCACAAAATCTTAAAAAAAACCCCAAAAGCCTTTCAAATAGCCATTTTAAGATTTGAAGTGATAAGACACAATAAAACTGTGGAAATGTAGACTAAATGTAGACTGTTTCTTCTCACTGAAAAACAAATTAATGAACAGCAACTTAAAGATTCAAAGAGCTAAGGTCACAGTGGCATCGTATTCAACATGTCACTGGTCACATGCACTGGCTAAACTCCAGATTCCCTATCTGTGTTGAGAATTCTGGAGGTTCTAATGTCTGCTGGAAAAAAACAAGGTCTTCCTGACACTGAAATATGCCAGAAAGCACACACACAGCAAAACCATGTAGCATTAGAAGAACTATGATTAAATTAGAGTAAGGCAAGTAAAAAGGGAAGAAAATGCTGTAAATGTCTTAGCTGGGTGTGGTGGAACACACCTGCAATCCCAGTACTCTGGAAGGCTGAGGCAGGACAGTCATAAACTTGCAAATTCAAGCCCTGCCTGGGGAACTTAGAGATTTAGCGAGACCCTGCCTGAAAATTAAAAATTAAAGGACTGGGGATGTAGTTCAGTGCAAAGGCCCTAGGTTCAATCCCCAGTACCCTCCCCCTGCAAAAGCCCGGGGACACACACACACACACACACACACACACACACACACACACACACCTTTTAGGTGCAAAGGCTATAAAGTAGTTTTTAGGGACTTATTCACTATATTCCATTTGTGTTTCTAAGACATAAAACAAACGGGCACACTTTAGTAGGCCTTCTCCCAGATTTTGAGACACTCTAAACACAAAGGTGAATATAACATGCAGCCACCCTATCTTAAGACTGAACCTTGACACTTCTAGAACCCAAAACAGCTTCTGGGTTTGGGATGCGGGCACTAGCTAGCATACCGCAGAGTCGTCTTCTTCACAAACTAGACCACTACTGCTCTACTGGCTGACAATCTGGCAGAAACAAGTGAAAATAATTTTACGTCTGAGGGAGCAGTTCCTAACATTCTCTCCTGGATCTTCTGCTTAACTGAATAGAGTGGGGAGGAGCAGGTATGAGAGGTGGCACTAAAAACAGTAGCAGTATGAGACCCAAAATAAGTTAAAACATGTTCTACCTTCTTCCTAAATTCATTTCCTTCAGTAGTGACAGGGAGCACAGGCAGTCTGCAAGTCATCAACACACCGCTATTTTCACTTTCACAAGAACCCTGGAAACCACTGAAGACCAAAATCCCTCTCCCCAGTTACGTTCCAGGCCTCTGTGTGCCTCCTCTCCTAGGGACAAACGTCAAGAGGGCCAGTCTTCAGCAACCCGTTATTTCCCCTCACCAACAATACGAAAGGTTTAACGGGAAAGTCGTGAAAAGTGGGAAGGGAAACCGCAGGCGAGAAGCAACAGAGGGAAGTGCACGTACGGCGGCGGGCGTCACGGAGAGGAGACAAGGTGAAGAACAGTGCCCTAAAATCGGGGGAGCGTTGTCCGGAGAATTCGCTAAGGAACACAAAAAAGATGGGGGGCGGCAAACGAGGGACAAGGTGCGGCGACCAAGGAGGAAACGAGGGTTGGGCAAGGCTTACAGAGCCAAGGGCCCGACGCCAGGATCTGGAGCCGGCTCCTGGGGAGACCGGCTCGGGAACGGGGGGATCCGGTGCCGAGCCCTGGGGGCAGGGATCTGAGCCGGCACCAAGCTCAGAGGGCAAGGGGCTCTCACCGGCAGTTTGGGGCTGACCTCGCCCTTGCAAAAGTGGCAGAAAAATCGGTGGGCGGCTACCGCTTCCTCCTTCGCGTCCGCCCCGGCCGCCGAGGCCTCCGCCATCTTTCTCCTCCGCCGCGGCTGTCGGAGCAGGCAGCCGGCCCCTGCCTCAGGCCGCTCCCCCGGCTGCGGTCGCCGCCTCCGCCTCCGCCCCTCAGTGCGGCCGGCGGCTCCCGAGCCCGCGTCGGTCACGTGCGTGGGCCGGGCCAGAGAGGCGACGGCAGGCCCGCCACCCCGCGGCCCGCCCACCAGCCGCACAGTGTGGGGCAGGGGAGCCCAGCCGCCCGCCGCCTGCAACTCAAACAGGCTTTCGCCGTCCTCCAGCCTTCCAGCGAGAAGAGAGACAGAGCGTCCCCGGAAACCACCGAAACTCGGGGGTAGAGCGGCGCACCTTTTCCCTCCTCCGGCGCCGGGCTGATCGCTATCTGCTTCCGGGAAAGAGACGTGGTCTCCGCTTAGGTGCAGGTGGCGAACTCGAGCTGCGGAATATCGTCTTGCTGACCGCGGCAGCCGTAGGTTAGGGACCTTGGATGCTCCCTGACCCTGAGGTTAGTGGAAAATGACATCTGAGCGAGGCGGCTCTGACTCTGAGCCAAAAGACCACGTCCGCGACGGCCGACTGCGTGAAGGGACCGAAGAGCCAGGAGCCAACACCTTGGAAATCCTTTCCGAGGATGGCAGAGGGTCTAAAGATGCTTCTCCAAAGACATTTGGATGATTGAAATAGTCTCTCCGATATCGAGTCTGGGGGGCAAAGAATTGGCATCTAAGGAATTCACCGCAGCTTGTGATAGGGGAGCAATCATTCAGCCACCTACATCAGTTTCTCTTTGTGTCTACCTTATCAAGCAGTAAAATTTAAGAATTAAGTTTCTACAAACAATATAACTCATCTCCTGTTTGAAACACTGTTGAGATGAGTTGAGAAACACTTTTACCTACTCGTTTCTTTTTCTAAAGTGTCTTTTCTTTATGGATGAGGAACAAAATTGCCTGTTCACTCCCACTGAGCAGTGAAAAATGAGTGACCTTAATTCTTTGCGGAATCTAAGGTCTGTAGCAGATTACAGAATCATCTATACCTAGTTTTTTTAAAAATGAGAATCACATGTACTCCCGTAAAAATCCGTTTCATCCGTATGCACTTCTAGGATTTTCCTATGCATTTTTTTGTCTTTTTTTTGAGACGGGGTTTTGCTATGTAGTTCAGACTGGCCTTGAGTGCTGGGATTACAGGCGTGCGCCACCACACCCGGCTTTTTTTACTCGAATTTTATTCTGTGTTTTTCTTTGCAATTTGCTTGTATTACTTGTTTTTGTTTTTGTTTTTGTTTTTGAGACAAGTCTGGCTATGCAGTTCAGGTAGGTCTTGAACTCACTATATGGCCCAGGTTGGCCTTGAACTGGCAACGATCCTCCTGCGTCAGCCTCCCACGTGCTGGGATTATAGGCATGTGTCACTACCCCCAGTTTACAATATGAATAATTTTTGTGCTAATATGTATCGTACTAAATCATTTTAAATGTTGGCTTAGTGTATCCCATTGTACAGGTATACCGTAATTTATTGTTAGCCACTAGGTGTTTCAGTATGTCAATACTGTATTGTAAAGAACTAGTGCCAGGGGTGGTACTGAATGCCTTTAGTCCCAGCACTCAGGAGACTGAGGGAGGAGTATCCACTCCAGTTTGAGTCCAGCCTAGACTACATAGTACAAGGCCAGCCTCTCTTAGAAAATCAAAAATAAATAAATAGAACTGTGACGTTTTTTATTATTATCTTGGAATAGAGTATCTAAAATGACATTGTTAAATATGTGCAAGATGTTAATGCTTTTCCTATGTATTGACAAATTACTTTCCAGAAAGAATACACAAATTTACAGCGAGTTGTGGTGGCATGCACCTGTAATCTCTCTAGCCTGAGGCAGGGGCATGCACAAGTTCAAGGCCAGCCCAAACTACATAGTGAGACTGTCTCAAAACAACAAACAAAAACAAATTTACACTGTTTTTTTCGTAGTTCTGAGACTTCCCAATACAATGACTCAAGCTGAAATTAAACTGTGTTCTTTGTTGCTACAAGAGCATTTTGGAGAGATTGTAGAAAAAATTGGAGTGCACCTGATCAGAACTGGCAGCCAGCCACTTAGAGCAATTGTGCATGACACAGGAACATCCCTGGATCAGGTATGTTTAGATAACATCAGTTTGTTCTCTTTAATTTGTTTCATTAATTTTTCTCACCTACCTTTGAATTCGTTCCTAGAAAGATGCGAAGAAAGCCTACCCTTGGTCAGAACAATGTTACTGGGGGTGGTAGAAGATAGCAGTTAGGCCCTGAGGTTCTACTTCTCAATTATCCCTAGCTCATCATAGCTTCTTTCTTTTTTTTTT